ACACCCCATGCAAGGTTACCCACGTAAAGGCGGTTGTTAGAGTCATAACCTCCACCACCACCTCTAGGACCTCTGGCACCTCTGAAAGAAGAATCCTCAGTCCGAGGAGGAGGAGGTCCATAGTTTACCCTCAATGCCCTGCCGTCAAGTTCCTGCCAAATGCAACAAAGTATTTCTTAGATACGATATACAGGGTTCCCATGAATGCAATTCAACCAATGATGGCAAGACTCAGCAAAATTAATACGGAACTCAACCAATCACTACACTGAAAAACCAACATCAAGAAATGCTACACTGAGCTACAAAACAACCTTTTCAGAATGAAATAAACATCGACCCAAGTTTCAAACATCAATCAATAAAATTATTTTCACAATAATGCCATGAAACTCTTGCTAACATAGTTATATACAACAAACAGAGATTTCAACTTGAACTGTAACCAATGACTTTAAGACTCAGAACAATCAACACGGTAATAAGCAATCGCGGCCGTAAAAAACTATACGCTACAAAAGCCCAGAGACTAAGCTCCATAAAACAATTGTTCAGTATGACAAATCTCAAACAAGTTTCTACAAATGAATGATTAACAAATACAACTACGTGTTTTTATCGTTTATAGCCAAAATTTGGCCATCCAATTCATAAATGTCAGTTTTCATAAAAAAAATATCAATTATAGCAGAAAACTCAACTGAATAGACTTATATGCCCTCTAAATTAAATTCTAATTACCATTTAGAACCCAAAACCCTTTCAAAGTTTTTGCACGGTTGTTCAACAAGGAATGGGGATGGAAAAGGTCGGGAACCAGTTGCAGGCATATAGAACAAGCCATGAATACATGGTCAGCTGCGGATTGAAAAAATCGAAACTTTTTTCATATGAATTTACTTTTTTATGGAATCGATTAAAAAGTGTATATGCTCATGCTAAGATTGAATTTATAAGCTCCTTTTCTTGGGAGAAAATAAACAATCAATGAGATCAAACTTCGTCATCTTGTCATTGCCGTCAAAACCCTAATACTAAAATACCAGTTAATTGTTACACAAAAATATGCAGAAATTTTATTCTATGAAATATCATTATGACCTATGTTGTAGCTTTATCAAGTAAGAAATGAATCTGACAGTTGTTTTAGCTCAATCTTTTTTCGTTCATTCTACTTTTTCAGATTGGGATCTGGATATTATCAGACATTCAAACTATAAAATCGAAAAGAAGGCCATCTCTTGTTAGTTTATATTTATACAGTTTTCAATGGTGAAGGCATTTGAGTCTATTTACTTGGTCTTTTTGATATATTTGAAATTTTTAATAAAAACTGATATTTATGAATTGAGATGCTAAATTTTGGCTAAAAATGATAAATAATCTACGACTACGAATAACATCCGAACTCACGAAATTTCAAACACTTTGGCATATATAAGAAAATATCATCAAATGGTCAGGCTTAAATATGAAGACTTACATAGCCATTTAGCTGGCGAGCAGCAGATTCAGCTTCTTGAACACTTGACATAGTCACAAACCCAAATCCCCGGCTTCTTCCGGTCGTCTTATCATATATCACCTGCAAAAACAAAACCATCCAAATTTAGCCCATAAAACACTAAACCAGCAACAACCCATTTCACTTTTCACCCAAATTTCAAGTAAAAGTTACAAAATTTCGAGTGAAAACAAGGAATTACCTCGACCATCTGGACATTTCCAGCGCTCTCGAAGATACCAGCGAGCTGAGCGCTATCGACGCTGAAGGGAAGGTTACCCACGAAGAGTTTGAGGTCAGGGGAGGCCTCTCCGTCGTCGCTGAGAACCTCCTCGTCCTGCTCGAACTCGGACGAGACGGCAACGTTTCGTACGAACCGAGACGACACGCTCTGAAACCCCTTCCCGGAGTTGAGAAATGAAGCCGAAATTGAAATGGGTTTGCAGCCGAGCGCTAGGGCGGAGGAGGCGGCCGAGTAGAGATAGATTGAGGCGGGTTTGGGAGTGTAGAGGGCTAGGGTTTTGGGGGAGAGAGAAGGAAGAGCGAGGGAAGCAGTGGAGGCAGTCATGGTAGTTTTGCTCTGCTTTTAGTTTTGCTTCTATACCGATAAGGTTGCAAAGAAGAAGAGGATTTTTTAGAACCTGGGGATTCAGGGTTTATGAAGAAGATTTGGATATTTTGTGACGGAAGTGCCCCTGGGGTTGGTTGGATTTACGGATAATGATCTGGTGCAGTGAGGATCACGAAGCTGTTGTGTTATGTGCCTGGCCCTTTCTGCCCACTTGGTGTTATATCATGGCTGTTTATTTGTGATTTAGCTGCCAGCTATTGAGGGAGATGTGAGATATTAGTTGGGCAGGACAGAGTTGAGGACAAAAGAGGGTAGTGTGCCTTGCCAATTGGCACTGTGGACTTGGATGGTTGGATCTGGTTGGAAGATTGAAGACCTTATTTGAAGTCCAAGATGGGCTCAATCCATTTTTGCATATATGGAAGTCCAAGATGGGGAGTAGAAGCCAATAACCTTCAAACCTGTTAAGATAACGATTTTTTAATGGTTTACTCGATAGCAACTTGAACCGTAAACAGATGATCTAAAATCTTTTATTTTTGTGTTGTTTTGTGTTAGATTAACGAGTAGTGCAAGGAATTGTCAAACTTAATTCATATCAGCATATAACATCTAATCTTATAAATACTGAATGATTTTCTCTTCCAGTTACTCGGCAATCATTGGGCTTCCAAATAGGTATAATCTTGTTCTACACTTTCTTATCTTCATTTTGATATATTATGAGTCGAATTTGGTTAAGAAACAATTGAGTTACAAAGCTTTGAAAATTACTCAAACTTCCGGTCAAGAGCTCCAGGACACTTAACAGATTTTTTAACGGAATGACCAAAATAATGGATGGTGGACAATCTCAGAGACTATTTCTATTGATTTTCAATCTGAGGGACCAAAGTGATGTGCTATGCAAATCTCAGGGACCATTTTGGCTAAAAAGCCTATGGATTTTGCTAGTATTAGTCACTCATCTTTGATTGATTGATACCAATCATTCAATTTCAATCAACTAAAGGCAACAATTGCTCGCAAAACTCTATGAAAATATACTATATATTGAAGGAAAAATTTTGTCTAACTCATAACATTTATGCATACAAGCATACATATTAACTCTTAAAGTAGGTATGCACTCAAAACAATTCTATAACCCATAAAATTCAAGGCCTAGTGTTGGTGAACTAAGAGTCTTTACAAACTAAAAAGAAGAGAGATCCAACTTTCATACCCTTGAAGCTCATCCTTGTGTTCACAAGGTTATCACACAAGTGGAGGCCTTCAAGTTCACTCCAAACTCCTTGGAAGCTTCCCTGTGTTTATGATCTTCTCTTCTTTGATGTTTGCTTCTTTGGTTCTCCTTTGCTCCTTGAGTATTTGAGGAAAAGATCTCCAAAGCTTGTAAGGTTTCAAGCCTCTAAGTATTCACACCAAGGATGAGGTGTGAAGAGAAGATGGATGGCCTAGAAGAAGTAAGATTGCTAGCTACCTTCTTCGAAGTATGGCCGACCTCCTTTGGAGAGATAGAGAGAGAAATGCCTTACACTTTGTCTCAAGAAACCCTTAATGAGGTTAAGCTATAAAGTTACTTTTTATACCTCATCACAAATGAGCGGCAAACTTGTAATTAAGCTATTCCCTTCCCAACTAAAGCCTAATGAGCCTTTATGGACCAAACCCATTTAGGCCATGAAACCTGAAACTAACTTAAAGCCCAATAGGAACCCTTTGCATGCTCGATTAACCAATTATTTAATCTAGACCATACTCAAGTAAACTATTTAATTGCTTATCCATCTCATTTATATTTCTTCATGTTCATCTTTACATGGTGTACGCTCAATTAGGTTTCAATTAGCGAGGTTGTGGGCAATTGTAACTCTTAACAATTGATTGTTAATTGAGACTAACTTTCGATTCTCCCTTTATTGAAGATTAGTGTTTGCTTATCTTTAGAACTTCCACAAACCATGAGTGACACCTAGTAGTTTGTCATGGGTACCTAAGCTAAGTAGAAGTGGTTGGAGAACTTATCCAGTTACAACTACAATGCAAGGTACGTAGTTCCTCTCTAATTTAATGCTCTTGACCACATTATTTAATTGATAGTTTGTTTTTTGTCTACCATCAAATGTGATACTTCTCTACATGATTATAGTGAATGTGATTTGGAAAGTACTTCCTAAATCTCATTCATATGCTTTGGCCAATGACTCCTAAATCATATCTCAAAGTATTTTCCTTTCACCATGGAAGGTTAGAGATTCATTATTGTACCTTCACATGCTTACATGATTAGGTAGCTTAACCCTAACAATGTCGTGGACATCCTCAAATGGAATGTTTTAACATAGTCAAATATCAAGGACCTAACCACTAGACAACTATGATACCTCAAGTCAAATGACTACTTTGCATTATTGCAATTCATGAGTTCTTACATGACATGTATGTTAGAACTCTCAATAATCATGTTCAATGTACTCAACATCCTTTTAAGCACCTATGCGTTTGTCTTAATGTCCATCACTTACTAACTTGAGACTAGTCATACTCTTGCTTGAGTTAACATAACACATACTAACCTTAACGTATGGTCAATGCTTAATTGACAATCCTATGACTAGGAACATTTTAGGAATAAACATAAGAGAAATGTCTCGTTGATCTAAACTTATATCACTTCTCTCTTACGTTGATTACATTCATTTGATTATGTTATTTATTAAACACATGATACGTTAAATATTGATTAACAATAAGCTAGCCTTGCCCTTCCATTAAACAAATAAGAGTTTAACATAACAAGTATTCAAAAAACTGTTACATCAAATGAGTGGCTTTAAGGACATACTTCCAAGATATACATACATACATATATATATATATATATATATATATATATATATTACTACAAAAGTTTTGATGTGGTCATGTAGAATTCCACTGCGTCTCAATATGTATAACTCCATTTTTTGAGTTGATCAAATTGTACTTCCCTCTAATGCGTCCATTGTATACCACATCACTAAAATTGATGTCAATGTACCCCAACGACTCCTAAATAAATAGTAGAAATTAGATGGTTTTAATTCAATAAATAATAAACCTAAAATGGTGAGGAGATTATGGTAAAAGATCCAACCTGTCGACGAAAACCAAATCTTTTCTTACTCATTACTTCAATATGGATCTTCTCCTTCAGTGAAGCATCTTCTATCACAAACTGGAATTCTTCATTCCAACTTGGACACTGGGTTTTCCTAAGCATCTAGAAAAGTTTGCATGCATAAAGTCATAATATGAACTAAATCGAGTCACAACGCACGTCATTATTAACCAATGAGAAACAAACATAGTAAACTATGTTATGTTGTCTGACTATCTATTTCAACATCATTCAAATGAATATTTACTTGAATATAAGGTTGAAATCGACAATATATTAAGAGAACATCTCCTTTTAACTGGTGTAAATAACAGTTTCCTACGTATTCTAAGATAAATGAGGTGTTTAGGAGTGCTAATATGCTCACCTTGGTTATTTTAGTTTCTTCTCCAAAGCTAACCAAAGCATAAGGGTTAGGGTTACTGCGATTCTTGCCAGAAACATCTTCAGCTCCCTGGACTGTAACCGAAAGCAAACCGGCTGCTTCTAGCGACGAAAAGCAAGAAAAATCCTTGGATCCCTTTCGGCTCTTACTTTGATGACTTTTTTCCCCTGCAACTTTTCCATCCAAAGGTCCACTGTAGTTTCCATGGTCATCTATAAAAGGATTGTATGTCAACTCCACTATGAGGTGGCCTCTCCCTTTCTTGTTTACAGGATCATAAGGGTTTGTGTTCTTCACCAAATCAAGAGTTAATTCTTTCGTCTCATGTGGGATAAGCACCTTCAGTGGAACAATTTGCATTCCTAAAAAGTCATGTGTTCCAATCTGTGAAATGAACATAAACAACACATCTTTTATTAGATAAATACGATCATTGGAGTTGTTAGATAGTATGACATGTTATGTTGCCACACTATTAACCAAATCATTAGTAAAATTGAAATTATATGATTCAGTGCTCTTGAGTGAATATCAAGAGTCTAGCATATATAGCATGTCTGTCTGTCTGAAAAAAATCATATATTTCTCTTGTATTAATACGGGTTTGTCCAAACCTGTTCCCAATCATAAAGATCAAATTGAAGGATTTGGGTCTGGGGATCTTTAACTGTGAGCCTGAAACTCTCATTCCATTCGGGGTTAAGGTTCCTCATCTTAATGGTAGTTTTCTTTGAAGGAAGCCTCTCCCCACTTAGTTTGATTTTAACATAAGGGTCAGATGTTCCAATGATGTCCATCTTCAAGAGTTTGAGTGCTTTTACAACCTTCACATGTAGTATCCCTACTGGCTTCTTTATTGTCCCTGATCTGGGTAAGCAAGAAAAATAATAATGAGTTAAATATTATACTTGATACATAATTAGTGTTCGTATATATAAAAATAAAATAAAATTATACATGATTTCTGAAGAGAAATACATCCTTTAACTGTGCAAAAATGCCATATCATATAAACTTACAGGGAACTATCAAGAATTGGTATGTCCAGAGTTTGGGGCCATAAATAAAGGCTAGCAACTTGTCTTTTTATAAATTCCTGCGTAGCACACAAAAAATAATCATACAAAAAGAAATTATTAAAAAGAGAAGATGTGTATAGAAATTCTAACATTTTTTATGTCATAATTTAAATCTGATGAAACTTATGCATGTTTAAAATATTAAGTACCATATCCTTACCCACTTTTCATATAACCACACTTATTTGATGACAAAAAGAAAATAATAAATCACGTATCTCTCACAAAATAAATTGGCAACGCTATTAATGGGATCTGCTCAGCTTGCTCTCCCACCCACTAGCCCACTCCAGCCCAAAGTTTGTATGAAATATCATTATCCTTTTTGATAGGGCTTAAAAATAGGTATCGTTCACAAATAAGCTCCTCGAAACACCATTTTATAATAAAATCACCTTAAAATATCATTTTGAAAGGAAAGGAAACTCTCGACACAGCTGTTACTAAATTAACATTTAGTAGGTGAGGTTTATGTTTTTTTTATGTAGCTTGATTTTTGAAGTGTTTCTTATTAGCATAAACAATCGTAAAAAACCACACTAATTAAGCATTAAAAATATGAAAGCCTATGTGCTTGTTGAACCTATTCAAGCATCGAAAGAATATGACTAGCTAAAATCATTTTCAAGTCCTAGGTGATATGAGAAAATGACCACACTAAAAAGTCAACTGAAAATAGAAAATAGTATATTTTTGTATAATTAGGTTTATCATTATGCTTTGTTTTTTTTTATTTCCTATAAAAAACCATACAAGCTTCATGATTTGTTTCAATTCTTTATAGGCATTGCCTAAGAACTCATATTATTTTGAAATGTGTATTTTAATTTATACATTATTCTAAATTATGATCATGATGACTGTTTTTCCTTCACTCAAAACTCAAAAGGTCAACATAAACAAGCTTAATGATAAGTTAAATAATTCAGAGGTGATTACTTTAGAGAGAGAGAGAGAGAGAGAGTTAGACCTGGATGAATTGGTACAAACCAGGGATTGCCATCACATCCCCTCCCTGAATTTTGAGTCCAAAATCCACATGTGGCTGCAATTAACATAATCTGCCACCATAAGAGCATGCCACTTACACGAAGTTTTAAAACCAACTTTGTTTTTTTTTTCTAAATTTTTTGTTAATGTACCTTATCTATCAAACTCACTACTACGTTTGCAAAACATGGGAATGATGGCACCAGAGGCCTCAAAATTATCCTTGGTGCTGCAAATATTTGGATATCCACCAACTGAGAACCGAAAAATGAATAAGTTCATGAGACTATTTTTCATGGTGATTGCAGGCAGACAGGCTGCACCCGACGAGGGTGTAATTTGCGTGTGCATGCAGCGGATGTAAGGTTCTGTAATTTACTCTGACCTGTGCTGTAAATCGAAACGGCAACAGTTTCAACACCACTGTTATGTGGGGATTTCCTGCCCATCTAATTGCAGGCTCAAATATCAGTTCGTTTTCAGTGGTTTCATGCACTCTCATGCCTGCAAAACTTCGATGACTTGGTAAGATCTCTCATATACCAAAAATAAAAACACACACACATGCAAATTTAAATGCTTCTTCTAACTTACCGTAAATTGTAGGAGGAAGGCTTCCGAGAGTCAGGGTCTCGAATTCGATCGATTTTATCTGATACTTTCCAATGTACTCTGCAAATATAGGTTTCGTGGCGCTTCGTATGATACCGCATATTGCCTATAAGTGTAAGAACACAAGTGACGCATCAAGAAGACTGACTAGTTCGCTAGGTTTTAGTTACTAGGGTTAGCTCCAAATCACCTTATCAAGGTAAGGCCACATATCATATAAAGCCTTGTTAAACCAGTCAATCTGCAAAAGTTCATTAAAAAAAAAAGTTACTAGGAGTAAAATGCCACAGTAAAATGTAATTAACAAGGAGGTAAAGTTAAACTCTCACTCTTTCATAGTCAGGATGTTTCACCCATGGAGGAATCTCATGCAAAAGATCAATCAGAGAGCCTGTATCAATCTCATCAAGGGGTTTAATAATTGGATCCTGCATAATTAGGTTTAAAGGAAATTTAATTACTTAATGGCCATAAAATGAGAGGAACCATGTAGTGGAGGATTAAGAAATTTGTTCCCAGGGTAAGACGAAGCTGGTACACCATTTTGGCTAGTTACTTTTGAATACCTATCTCGTCATGGATTTTTTAGGCATTTTGTTAAGCACCTTACCGCTACATGTTAGCTATTCTTAACAAGGACGTAATGAACAATGAATAATTTCAATGCGAAGCAATCGTGTGAGATGGGGGCAAATGGGCAAATGTAGACCAAAACAAAATTGAACACATATGGCATTGGAGATGAAGAACGATGTTTAATTGACATTCCCAGATCAGACATGGCATTCATGGAAGAAAAATGAAAATTGTCATAAAATAATGAGACAAAAAATTAAGGAAGTTTTCGATTTTGTCGTTAATTACCTTCACATCTTCAGGCTTAGAGTATATAAATATGAAAAATCCCAGTACAAGGCCGATTGGAATTCCAAATCCAAATCCAATAAAATCGAATAAAAGACTCAGAATTCTCATTTTTCCCTACAGAAAATTGAAAATTAAAATCCAGAAATCCATCATCAATACAATATCTGGAAGAATTATGTAAAAGAAAAAAGAAAGAAAGGAGGATGCAAGGATCAGAAATTGCAAAAAAGTAAAGGGACGCAGAAACTGCCAAACTAGAGTGTCGTTGTACAGTACACGTGTCAGAAAAAGGAGAGGGTTTTACTTTATAATTACGGGCATTACTGTACTCTCCACGTGTCCGGTAGTTAAGCAATGTAATTGGGAACCGAATCCCCGAAAGAACTGAGCTCACTAATCAATGCATCCGGACCATTAAAATTTGATCTAACGGTTACAAATAAGAGAGATTTTTCAGTGTGACTGGTACACGGGATGGTACACCACGTGTCACTAAACAAATAGGTGGGATATGTGTGCTAAAAAGTTAATAACTTAAAAAATAAAATTTTCCACATAATACATGGTGTACCACTTGTGTTCCCGTCATAACTAAAAATTTCTCTACAAATAGGGTGCCCCTCTAAAAGTTATAATTATCGTAGCTGTTGGATCAAATTTTAATGGTTCGGATTCATTAATTAGTGGGTTTAATTCATTTGGATCCGGAAGGGATTCGGTTCCATATAATTGCTAGTCCATAGGAACTTGACCGGAGATGGTGTGAAAAAGCTTCTCTCATCCTCCTACTTTTGAGAGTTGAGAGCTTATATAGAGAAAAATGTTATGAACTATCTTTCATTTTACAATTTAATATTAATTTTTGTGTCAATATTCTATTGTTTCAAAAACATAAGACGGCTCACTTCGAGAGAATTGGATCCCCTCCTGAGCAAATGGTGGGGATCCTCATGACCACACAACACAGGTTGTTGAATTTTGATCCAATAGCTCTCCGACAACCCGTATTATGTGGTCATGAGGATCCCCATCATTTGCTCAGAAAGGAATCCAATTCCCACTTCGAAAATCCCTTAGCATTTCTCTTCTCCACAAAAGGAATGTAATACATTGCACAATGAAGGTTGTGGATTTCCACACAACCTAAAAGGCTAAAGCCTAAAGCTTTCAGAGTTGATGACATGATATATCAACATGATTTATTGGTGTGGGCATCCATTTTTACCTAAAACAATATTAACATGGGAATCTTAACGAAACACTTCTGGTATTATTCATTTTAACGTTAAGGATATTTTTACCTTGAAAAATCACTTCTGGTATTATTCACTTACATCTTTATTTTATCATTTTCATTAAAAGCTAAAGTTTTTGAGTATTTTTTGTTAGTTTTCCTTATTAATATTGGTAGTTTATTTTAATCATTGATGCATTTTGCGTTTTTCACGCGTATAACTAAAATAGTACACAACGAGATACCACTCTTAGCATTGATTTTTTTAGGCCAAAGCATTGGTGTGACCTGAAACGAATTGCATATATTCATCTATTAATACATTCACTGGTGTGATTTTTTTTAGGTCTCTTAATGTATCATAAAATTCCAATGAGGCAACTCTCTTGTAATTCATCTCTCACACTACACGATTTTATTCATGATAAAAGAGATAGACATTCAAATATTACAAACACACCATAAAAGTTTTTTCCCAAATTATGGTTGGATGATTTTCGAAAGGGAACTATTATTAGTACTTCAAAAATTTCATTATATACTCCTTAAAAGTGTATTTTTCTTTCTAAATATAAAAAGTTTAGAGTGCAACATAAAAATTTTAAAGTGTCATTAATAATTTCGAAATAGCAAGAATAATACATATAATTCTTCTATCTTTTCTAATTGTATCGAACCCATCTCTAGATACAACAAATCGTAAGACTTTATTTAATTGAAATTAGTTATTAGAATTTTTACCACATATAGGGTCCACGAACACATGTGGATTCCATCTTTATTAAAGAGCTGGTATAAATGTGATAAAAAATATGGTAAAAATAGTATTTCTGTTTTTTTTTTTTTAACAAAACCCCAAAAATCTGAATCTAGTAAACAAGAGTTTTTAACCAGATTCTTGGAGCATAAAACCCCCAAAATCTGAATCTAGTAAACAAGAGTTTTTAACCAGATCCTTGGAGCATGGTGATATGTCCCATGTTGGTCTCCTTCAAATGCCGCAAACTCTGGACTTTTAACAGCATAACTTTTACAGGAATATTAATTAATTAATAGTTAAATGGTATCTGAAACTATAGATTATGAATTAATTAGGGAGAATAATATAAATAATTCCAAAGGACTTGGATGATTGAAGTTCAATGTATATGTTCATATCAACTAAAGTCAGATCGGTCTTGTTTCTCTGGTGTGCCCATTGATATTAATTTTTTTTTCAGAGATAATATTGGTTATTGTTTCTCAAATTTAATTATAAACTAGCCTTCATGCACGCGCGTAATCGTGTGCATAAGACATTTTTTAAATCACGGCATACTACGCTTTAAATGTATTTACATGCGTAAATTGACAAAAGGAAAGTCAAATATTTGAAGTATATGAATAATTTTAGATCATGCTAGAAAAAATCCCTCATAAACCAATTAAAGAAGCTAAATTCACATAATAAAATCAGTTTCTATAGAATTTACATTAAGAATAGAGAAAATATTATTTAATAAACAATTGATTGAATTACATTATTGCTGGCTCATTGTGAGGCGAAGCCCACCCCCTCCCCCTTAGTGTAGATAATATCGTTTGTTAAAAAAAAAAAAACAATAATTTGACAATTAGTTTAATCACATTATTATCCACGTGCGAAAAACGTTTTTTATAAAGAAAATAATATTTAATAAAGAACTGATTGAATCACATTATTGCTAGCCCTTTGTGAAGCTAATCGCATCCCCTCCCCCTTAGTGTAAATAATATCTTTGTTAAAAAAAAAATTAATCATTTGATAATTAATTTAATCACTCACCTTATTATCTGCGTGCGAAATATTTTTTTTTATAAAGCAAATAATATTTAATAAACAACTTATTGAATCACATTATTACTAGCCTATTGTGAGGTTAAGCCCACCCCCTTCTGCTTAGAGTAGATAATATCGTTTGTTAAAAAAATAAAAAAAAAATCATTTGACAACTTATTTAATCACATTATTATCCGTGTGTGAAAGACCTTTTTAATAACCGGCATTACACGACTCTTAAGATGTTTTGAACACAATATTCATGATTTTCCTTATTTTTTTATTATATTTTTTCTTTCCCTTCCCTTCACGTGAGCACCATCAACTTTCACTCATCCTTCCATTTTTTTTATTCTTTTATCTCTTCCCACTTATATTTATATTATATTTTATGATGACCAAATTACCCCTGCATAATTTGATATATTATATTGGGCTGCTTTTGGATTTTTTTGGTTGGGGGGGCAATTTTGTCCTTATATTTTTGTTGAAGCCGTGACCCCAAATTGGGGCTCTGACTTAATATATAACTAACCTTCGTGCACGCGCTCATGCGTGTGCAGAAGACATTTTTTGAATCACAGCGTGTTACGCATGACTTACATGTTCTAGAAGAAACCCCTCATAAACCAATTAAAGTAGATGAATTCACATAATAAAATCGGTTTGTATAGAATTTACATTAAGAATAGGAAAAATAATATTTAATAAACAATTGATTGAATCACATTATTACTAGCACATTGTGAGGCTAAGCCCACCTCCTCCCTCTTAGTGCAGATAATATTGTTTGTTAAAAAAAAACAATCATTTGACAATTAATTTAATCACATTATTATCCGCGTGTAAAAGACCTTTTTTATAAAGAAAATAATATTTAATAAACAACTGATTGAATCACATTATTGCTAGCCTATTGTAAGGTATTAAATTTAAAAAAAAAAAAAAACTTTGCTAATTTATCACCAGCACTATGTGCCTCTTAAGATGTTTTGAACACAATATTCATGATTTTTCTTCTTTTTTTTTTTATATTTTTTCCCCTTCACGTGGGCACCGTCAACTTTCACTCATCCTTCCATTTTTTTTAATCTTTTCTCTCTTCCCACTTGCAAAAGACATTTTTTGAATCATAGCGTGTTACGCGTAACTTAGATATTTTAAAAGGAAAACTAATGAAAAGGGCTTAAAAACTTTGAGTTTTAACGATAAAGACAAAATAAAGGCTAAAGTGAATAATATCAGGTTTGACTTTTTAGTGTAAAAATGTGGTTTTTCGTTAAAGTGAACAGTACCATGGGCTTTTTATTAAAACTTCCTATTTTAAATGTATTTATATGCGTGAATTGCTTCAATATTTTTTTTTAATTTCGTTATTTTTTTTTTAACACTAGTGCTACGTGCCTCTTATTATGTTTTGAACACAACATTCATGATTTTTCTTATTTTTTATTATATTTTTCTTCCCCATCACGTGGGCACCATCAACTTTGTCATTTGCTTATTCTTTTCTCTTTTCTCTTTTATTTTTTTTATTCTTTTCTTTCTCTTCATTTATATTTATATTATATTTTATAATGATCAAATTACCAAATTACCCTTGCATGATTTGATATATTATTTTGGGTAGGTTTTGAATTTTTTTTAGCTAAGGGGTAGTTTGGTCCAATTATTTTTGTCGAAGCTGTGACCCCAAATTAAGGCTCTGGCTTTATATATAAGAGATAGATTATAATTAATGAAATAATAGGGCTTTTTTTTTTTTTTTTGCGGCGGGGGGGGGGGGTGGGGCACGTATTTTAGTTCGATGCGTTGCATGGCCAAAAATTAAAAGCATTGATTAAATAGTAGCAAAGTACTTATTTGCCATTACGTATCATATCCACCGTAGTATTGTTGTGGTTTTTATTTATTTATTTTTATGGGAAATTCTTAATTTCCCGTTTAAGAATACCAAATTTAGAAATTTTCCATTTTGGCCGTTGGAAGATTTATTACAATTATTGGTGTGGAACAAAGAAACAATTTATAGATACGATTGCTACACCATTATATAGTTTTATTAAGAATTTAGATTATAGAGTATAACATTTATAAATATAATATTAGTAGATTAGTAATCTCACATAACAGTGATATAGTCACGCTAAAAAAATTACCGTGACAAGAGAAATTTTGTCTTACATACTGATGCCTTACAATATCTTAA